TGGGTCTCGGGGCGGCTTGCAGCTCGCATGAGCCCCGAGCTGCGGCGGCGCTGCTCCCGTGGGGGCGCGCCGCGATCGCGCCCTCGCCTTGGGACGGGGGTTCCGGGCGGCTGCAGCGCCAGGGAATCGCAAGCCCTGCGCGTCGGGAGGGGAGGGGACGGGAGGAGAGGGGGCGCAGCACTGCGCACCCCGGAGGTGTCTCGCTGCGCCCCGGACCTGCCCTGAGGGCAAGGTGGCTTCCCCCTTTAACTTTCAGTGGCCAGCAGGAGGAGCAGAGAGTTGGAAAACTCGGCCATCCGTCCCAAAAGCCAAGTAGCGAGAAGGCCTGCGGGGACCCCAAACCTGTCTTTGAAAAGCTGCCCCTTAATATCTCCAAGTGTGCCCCCGTGGCTCCCCGACTGTGGGAGGTCTCAGCACCAGCCCCGAAGGCAGCAAGCAGGTGGGCGGCACCGTGAGGGACTCTCCCGTTGATGCTCCAGGTGAGAAGGGATGGCCTGTGAAAGGGGAGCGGTCCCCAGGTGGTGCCTCGGCCGTGGGGGGGCCCCTGCCCCCCTGGCCATCGCTGGCACCCCCAGTGCCCTTGCCAGCCCTCCCGATCCTCCCCTTCTTTTAGCCCATGCCTAAAGCAAAAGAGCTTTTTCTTCGGGAGACTGGCCAGCTGTGAAGCGAACTCATGGGCTCAGCACCACCTTCTTTGCGGGGGCAAATCCGTGACTTAGCATTTGAGACTCAGGCCACGCCTCACTCTCAGCTCCTTGGGCGAGATGCTGGTCTGAGGCCTCACCAGCTTGCCTTCTGTGAAAAGGCTCTTGCGGCAGAGAGCTGGGGGTTCAAGGCATGGCTTTGCGTTTTGGAGCCCGGATCCGCTGCTGAGCTGTTCTTAGGCTCTTGGCCGGGTTGTGACTCTTAGTCCCAAGAGCTTGCCTTCTGGGGAATGGGTCTTTTGTGGCTCGAAAACAAGAGAAGGCCCCACATGTGTTGCTGAATGGAGGGCCCCAAAATTCCCAGGGGCTGAGGAGCCAAACAAAGCCCAGTCTACTTCAGAACATGCTCCCCGCCGTCCTTAGGCGTCACTTGCCTTTATGCAGATATATCGTGCTTATTTTGTCTTGAAATACTAGCCGTGACTAGGCGTGCCCATCCAGACAGCCATTCTGTAGCTGGACAAGCCCCCTCCCGTGCCAGATGTCTATGAGACCTCTTACTGCACTCCTGAAACCGGGATGGGTCCCCTTGCCCGCAGCTGGCGATTGCACGAATGTCACGCAGCCTTCCTCTCTCCCGCGCCCACACTGCTGTGTCCCCACGCCTGGTCTGGCTGGCAGTTGCGGAGCTGCCCAAACGGGAGTGGGGTCCCCACGCGCTCGCTGCTGCCAGCCTGTTTCTCACGCAGGTGAGTCCTTGCAGTTCTGCTCAGCACCAGGACCTGCGGGTGCAGAAGGCCCCTGCCGCTTTCCATGGGGTATGAATGTCGGCTCTGGCTGTAATTCTGGCACACTCACTCGTGAGTGAGCCCCACCGATATCAAAGGGAGGTGTGCGCCCTGCGTTTCGGATGCGTAGGATTTCCCCTGTCCATGCCTGTGTGGGACCTGCTGAGACAGCTCAGAAGCGGGCTGCTTCTTCCCTCCCTTCCATAGTCAGGCTCCGTTTTCCCTGCCTGCTTTTTGATGGGAAAACAAGAGTGGATTTCTGGAGAGCTTCTGATCATTTGGGGCCTGTCTCTTGCTCTTCCTGCCTGTTGGGAATACTCCAGTGGAAAGAATCCTCTCCCCACCCCCTCATCTGTTGTACTTCTGTGCGCATTGAGGAGAATAAAGATCAACATGCCCTTTGTAGACAGTTCAGGCATTTAAATCTGATTCTGGAAGAAGATGCAGGCCGCCCCTCCCTGTGCCAAGATCATCCGTGGTGCCTCCAGGGCAGGGGGCCCCTTCAGACTCCTGGAATTTGGGCTGGCAGAGGAACGGGGCTGTGGACACAGGCAGCATCCTTGGTGAGGCAGGAGCTCGCAGCATGCTGTGCCATCCTGAACCAGTATCCATCCCTGTTCCAGGGCCCACGTCCTCACCCCACAAAGAGGCGGAAGGGGAAGAAGCAGGGGAGGAAATGCCCATGGAGAACTTGGTATTTTGGGAAGCAACACTGGGCAGATCCTGGCGGATCCTTTGGCAAAATGAGAGCGAAGCGTCGTGGGTTCTGTGGTTCAGGTCAGGCCTCTGTGAAGGCCCCGCAGGGGACCTGAGGCTGTCCTTTTATGAGGAGGGACTTTCACCTTTTGCAGTTTGCCCCTAAGTCCTGCGTGAGCACCCAGGAGATGCAGCACATTCACGCAGAGGCTGCCGTGCCGTCCGAACCCAGGCGGTGGAGCAGCACTGGCAGGGAGGGAGCAGGTGGGAGGGCAAGTTCCACCCGCTGATGCACCTCAGGGTTTCACGAGCAGCTGGAGCCACGCCGGGCCCTCCAGGGTCCCGGGCGGCTGTTCTGGGGAGAAGGGTCCATGCAGCTCGGTGCAATGAGTGGCTGAAGGCCCGTCCACCCGCCCAGCACATACGTGGTCTGGCGTCCCTTTTGCCCAACGATCCCTGGGGGCGGAACGAGGGGATCTGTGGAGGGAGCCCAGGCGCTCGCTCCCCCCTCTGCCCCCGGCCACGCCAGGCCATCCGTCCGACCCTGGCAGCTCTTGCTGGAGGAGCTGCCATTCTGGGCGGGGTCCTCGTTGCACTCTCGGGTCACCCAGGCCATGGGGCTCTTTGGCTGCTGTGAAGTCTGCAGCTGCCAGGGCCTTGCCTTCAGCCCTTCCTGACTCCTCTGAGTAGGACAGATGTGTGCTTGGCAGCCAGCCAGCTGCAGCAACCGCTTGGCAAAAGCTGCTTCCAGGATACGGGGCCTCTGGAACGAGGCTGAATTGCTGCAGTTTTTAGTGAGCTCCCCTGCAATCCACTCAAAGCTCCACCTGGTCAGGACTCTCAAACGCAGCTGACTTCCTGGATCTGCCAGATCTGCACGGAGTTCTTCATTTTCTCTGAGGAAAAACAGCTGGAGGCCAGCAGCACAGTCTCTTCCTGTGTCGCACTGGAAGCCCCTGGGCTCCAGACAGGACAGAGCATTCCTTACACCCTGTGGGAAAGTCACGTCCCGCAGAGTAGGACATTCCTCAGCTTCCTCTCCAAGGCCTCCTGAGATCGCTGGCAGAAGGAACCTCAGTGGTTCCAGCCTGGGGTCACCAAGACCTCTTGACTTCTGTGAGGCTTACTCCCAAGCGAGGGCGCATTGGCTGGAAACCCTGGGGGCTTCCTCCCTGGTCTCAGGGGAGGAATCCCCTGCTTCTGGTTTGTGCCCTGCCTCCTTTCCACCTCCCCAGCTGCTCTGGCTTGAAGCGGATGCTCTGGGGCGTCCTGGCCAAGCAGTTGGGCCTCGGTGTGGACTGCGGGGACACACTGTTAGGGAAGGGCCGGGCTGTGGTGGCAGAGCTCAGGCATCACATGCCGATGATCCTCGGTCCAGATCCTGGGAAAGACTCCCCTGCGTGAGCCCTGGAGAGTCCCTGCTTTTTGGGGTGAAGCAACTCGAGCAAGGTGGCCCTAGAGGAGAACTCAGGGTAACTGGATGGGTCTGGGGGTGTCCCCTTCCCCCCTTGGGATGCCCTATGAGGATGCCGGCACTGGGCAGGCATTCCATGCCCCTGGAGCCACCTGCCACACCTCCCTTAAAAACAGCTAGAAAAAAGCTTCTAGCAGGCAAAAGTTGGCAACCCTACACAACTTTCACTCCTGTGTGCATGTGGTTTTCCCTGAAAAAACCTTGTAGGCTAATTTTCTGTTTAAGGCCGTTGCACCTCCCAGGGCAGTAGGCACTGCTGCCAAGTTATGGTGATGGTTTCTTTCCTGTGAGAAATGTGGGAGCAACCCTTGCATCCTGAGCAACGAAAAGTAAGACGCTCATCACAGCAACGTCTCTTCATGGAAAGTCGCTTCCGTCCTGCACAGCACACCTGGCCGCGCCACGATTCCCTGCCAGGTGATCCGGGGAACACTGTGCGCGTGCAGAGCCAGGCTTCTGCCTGTTGAGCGGCTACTTGCTACTCAGAGTAGACCTCTCAAGACCTGCCCCTCCCTCTGGGTGTGCAGATGCATATTCTGTGCACCGTTCTGAGAGTGTTGTGTTAATCGAATGGTACAGAAAATGCAATAAATAAATCGGCATCACCAGCATTTGCCCCAGGAATGCGGGAAAATGTGTATCGCTTTCTTGAGATCCCTGGATTACGGCTACACTTTCAATCTGCCGGTTTGTTTAGCATTCAAAGCATTGCCGAAGTGTGGGAGCGCACGTTTAGCAACAAAGTCACATTCTTATTAGCATCGTTGTGGTTTTTCCTTCCCTGAATTTTGTCACGTATCTATCTGTAAGAAGGGCTTCTCGAATCAGCTGCTTCTCTGGGGCTCGCAATTTCATAGTGGGAGGAAAAGTGTAAGCTTTAGGAAGGACCCCCCCACCCCTCCCCAGTTGCTCTTCTTGGTCTTTCTGCATGCCCTGCTAGCCAAGCGGGGGCCCATCCTGCGGCTTTTACTCCGCCTTGTTTGGCAACTGAAATGCAACCCTGTGAGGTGGGCTGGGCTGAGTGTAGACGACCGGCCGGGAGTCAGCCAGTCACTTTGTGGCCAAGTGGGGTGGAACCCGGATCTCCTGGATGCCAGCCTGACACGCCAACCCACACCCGCGGCTCCCCTGAGCCCTGTGGGTTTGTGGCAGGCCAGAGCCGGGTCTGTCTCATGCCTCCTCCTGCTGCCGCAGATGCTTCGGAGGACGACCACCTGCCAGGATAGGTGAGCAGCGCACACTCTTTGCAGGGAGAAACGTCCTTGTAAAGGAGTCCTGTTGGGATCGTTGTGCAGAAGAGATCATAAGGTGGTTGGTGGTTTCTACATTGTGTAAGGAATGTCGTGCAGAGAGTTGTGTACTGAATCTTTATTCGTTGTGCTTGTCTTACAGTGTTTCAAGTTGTTTGAAGGCAAGCGAGATGTGGGTAAGTCGCTGTTGCTTCCTCCTTTTTCATTGTCAGGACGGTGTGTGTTCTGTGCACTCGAGACCCGAGTGGCCTTAAAAGTGTGCACCAAGAGAACCCACATTCACTGCCAAGACAGGCTGAATTACCTGGAGTAAAAAGGTTCAGATCAATTTGGGTTATTTATTTTGCACAAGCTGGAGAGCTGTCCTTTCCCACAGCTCCGGAGACGGGCCAGAGAGCCGTGCGGGATGCTGATGTCCCATGCCGGATGGCAAAGGTCTGTGGGTCATGGGCATCGCAGGCCTGTGCTCGGGCTCCCCTGCCCCCAGACTAGTACCTGTTCTCTCCTCAAAACGGCCCAGCCTGGGCGATTCGGGGTGCGGGATTCTGCACAGCCAAATGCCCTGCTGGTGAGACCCTGTGAGGAAGGACGCGTGGCATCTACACAGCCCGACTCGGTCTGTGCCTGGGGTTGGGTGGCCTCGTGATGTGTGTCTGAGTGGCTTCTCTGCCTTATTTGCCTGGGGCACTTATTAAGGTCCTCCACTTCAACGTGTTTTCTTTGCTGATTTGTTGATATGACTTCTCCTGCATGAAACTGGATCTTACAATAGTGTGCGCATCTTGACCTGTTAAGTTCCTTTTAAGGCTTTGGATGTATTATTGTCAAATAATATTTAGCTGGGAGCGGGCTGGCTTTCGTTTTGCAAAGAGCAGGCCCCGAGCCATGCGGGCGGCTCTGGAGGAGAGCTCTCACGCCGCTGGTAAGGATACCGACCTCCCTTTGGGACACGTGCAGGGGCATCATCAAGCTGCTGCGAACCAGCTGCTCCGCTCGGCTTCTGCAGCACGTGCGACAGTGCGCGCCTGCCCATTTTAACCAGAAGAGGGCGCTCCTTCCCCACTTTTCTCTGGCCCCTTCCCAGAGAGTTTCTATTCGAGACCCAAGATGGCATTTCTCAAAGTCTCCTTCTTCCTTTTGTCCCCACCGTGATAGTAGCCAAACTTCCCATCTATTGTTTCTTATGTAAACAAGGAGCACAACATCTCGGAGGGTGAACAGATGGGCAGCCACTGCTTAAGCTCCAACTGCAGCTCCTTTTAGTGGCTGGACTTTCGAACAATGTCTGCCAGCCCTTCACAGAGAGGTCGGTGGGCAGATGGCCCAAATTCCCTCCACAAAGTAGCCCTCGGCACTCACGGAGTGCAGCTACTTGCCTTGCCTCAGCATTGCCCAGGCACAGTTGTGCTCCTAGGCAATCATTCTGCAAGGCGTGGAGCAGGCCTGGGGCAGCGAGCCTCTTTGCAACGACCCTGGATCGCCAAAGGGGGTGCTTGTGATACCACGCACTTCTGTATTCTTAGAAATGACGCTGCACCATGCAGACCTCTACTGCGTTCCAGAAGTGAAAAAGAAAAGGAAAACTGCTTTGGTTTCTGAGAAGTTGGCAGCTCCGTTTCACCCATCCCGTGGTTGCAGGGAATCTCCCATCTTAGTTCCTTTGTGCGGTCAGACTCGTGCTCTCTGCCTGCTGATGAGTCACGTACCATCCTTGTTTTCAAGAAAAGCGAAACCTGCAACCGTTTTCTCCCCCTTGTCTAGCAGGGCATGCCGGATCCAGCAGTGTGGCTGAACTTCACTGGGCAGACTTTCTTTCTTCCCAGCCCATAAATTCCAGACTACGGCCAGGGCTCCCTGCTGCAGAGGTGTCACCTGAGGCCGCTTCTAATCAGTGCCCTGGGCTTCTCTGGAAGAGGATGCCATGCCCACGTGGAGCGGGGTCTCCCTGCTGCCCTTTCCATGCCTCAGGAAGCACCTTTCAAACGACTGCTGCTAATCTGGCGTCCCATCTCCCCGAAGAGCTTTGCGATGCCTCTCTTATCCGCCCGCCCATATTTTGCTCTTCCTTGCTGCCCTTACTCTGGGACATCGCTGCTTTGCTGTGGGGGGAGGCATTACTCATTTGCTGTGGTGCTGTTCAGCTTTACTCGTTTGCTCTTCCTCTGCAAGGGCTTGCATTAGAACCCTCTGGAGTCCACGTGGTGCTCAGACTGTTTCATAGAAAGACAGCAGGGGCGTTGTGCAAGCAAGCAAGCAAGCAAGCCGGCCGATTTGTCAGCCAGCAAGAGGGCGCCTTGCCTGCACCAGACCTTTTGCATTTAAAGTGTGCTTAATATTGCCACGCCATTCAGAAGGAAGAATAGCCGCAGGGGGGGATCCTGTCTGGCTCCTTGGCTCAGGCAGCACAGCAGTGAGTGGGCTGCATCCCACCGTGCGTCTGGTCGCATCTCACAGATGGGAGCGCGATCCTCTGGACCGAATTTTACCTCCACAGCACGCAGCTGAGAGTGCTTCCCCTCGGAGAGCATGGCTGCCGTGTGTGAAGGGGGGTGAATCTTCAAGGGTGGCTGCCGTGCTGGGGGGGGGGGAGCACTAGCAGCAACCCTCCAAAAAGCACCCCATGCTGCAGTTAGGCTCTTAAGTGCTTCCTTTTGCACCAAATGGGGGTTTTCATAAAGGCCTAATTCAGCTGGAGGAGGAAAGATGGGGAAGCCTCTTCTCTGAGGAGCTGCTGGTTGCAGGGAGGAGAGTTCCACTCTGGGGGAGGAGAGATGGTATCTGGCGGCAATTCCCCACCCCTCCCTTGAGTAGCCATGAACGCCCTGCTCCGCCCAGCTTTCTGCATCCCTCCCCACCACTGGGCGACTGGGTCAGCGGGCCCCTTGGTCCAGTCGAGGCAGGGTGAGAAGGGCCCCGTGATGAGGTGAACTTGGGGGCAGTGCGGGAGGAGGGCAGGGGCACCCTGGCCATGTGGGGTGTTCTCCCACATAGGCCACCCTAACGACAGGAATGGTGGATTGTTCCCCACCACAATTCATGTCTCTTTGTCCAAGTCTCGGCCCAGCCCTGATTTTTACAAACTCATCTGACAGTGACTTTGCTGCTGTTGTCCTCTGTGATGCAACGCAAAATTATATAGAGGTCTCTGAAATTGCCACTTCTGCAACAAACTTCAAACTTTCCATGTCATGTAGAAACAGTCAGAAGGCGAAGGAAGAGTGGCTGGTTGGTTACAAAACTGCTCACTTCTCCTTCAAAGTTCCTGGACAGGCCAAGTTGCCAAGGTTTGATTAACTTCCATGCCCCGTCATGATTCACTCTATTCCATTTCCAAACACTTCATGTGACCATTTAGCTACACAGCTGCTTTTGCCACAGAAGTGTTCTGGCTCCCTGGTGGAGGGTCTGAACGACACCTTGCTTCTGTGGGATCCAGACTTGCTTCCATCTGGCTAGAGATGTTAATTAGCTTACCAGTGCTTAAAGTTGCCATCAACAATACTTTGTGAATGATCACAACATTTTTTTTAAATGTGAGCTTTAATGTGATTACCAGTGTCCCTGTCCCTGCAATTTTATTTTCCTCTGCCTCCTCTGCAAATATTTCTCTCTGCAGAACACGTGCCTTTCCACAGGCACCTGAGGATAGCATTCCAGGCATCCATTGAAGCGGACTCTGCTCCCTGTAAACATACAAATGTGTTAGTCTTTGGGATGCCAAGTGAGTCATCGTTGCCTTTGCTGCAACCAACGCTCACCGCCGCGACCCTTCTGAAAATAGCTCCAGTTCTGCTGCTCGGTACATTTGGAAATATTTCCCACAGTCAGAACTAAGGTAGGAAATCAGCTGCAGGCTTACAAAGTCCTGCAGACTGTGTCAAGGGCCTCACACGGACGGCGGAATGGCAGGCGTGCGCGAGCGACCTGCTGCCCCCACTTCTGCTTTGCCAGGGCTGGAACTAGGCGTGGGCCTGGAGGGGGAGAAATGGCACCGCTCGCTGCAGCCCCTTCGCTCCGCCCAGATTCAGCTCGCCTGCAGGTTGCGATGCTTCTGTGCGAAGCTGTCGGGTGCCAGCTCACAATGAGGCGGCTGCATCACGAACGAGGGAACTAACGGGCTGCTTCGTCCTTGCAGGTGTGATTCGCACAATGTTATTGACCCGTCAGCTCTTGCTCCGATGTGCCATCAAGTCTTGCTGACCCCCGAAAGTCCTATCCATGGCAGCCCCCCTCAGGTCTGGGCGTCCCAGGCTGTGGCTGCTGGCATGGGACTGACCCATCCACGTTGCTCTCCTCTCCCGCCTTCTCGTGGCGTCGCAGGCTGTGCCTGAAGCACCACAGCCTGTTTCATTGATTTCGCTTCCAGGGAAAGCTCTGGCCTGATTTGATCTTCGCGTCTGTCTCTCGGTCCGGGAATTTGCAAAGTGCTCCTCCAGCACCATGTTCTGAACGCACCTGCTTCCTTCCTGCCAGCTTTCCTCACTGCCCAGTCCTCAGGCTAGGAAGGGTGATCAGGAAGACAAGAGTGTGGCTGGCCCTGGCCTGGGTCTCCAGGAAAGGACCTTCCACTGGGTGACCTGTGCTAGTTCTTTCATCGCTTGCCTTCCAAGGGCGAGTTCCTGGGCTGCAGGCTCCCTCTGAATGGGCGACTGAGCCGAGCGAGTGTTGTGAACCCTTCCCAGTTCTCCTGTGCTGACAGTAACGTTCGGTAGTGGTGCCTTTCGTTTTCTTAATGCTAGTGGCAGTCCTGCTTTCGCGCTGCTTCCTCCCCTTCCATCAGGAGCAGTTGCATCCGCTGCTGCTTTCGCCACCAAGTGCGTCTCTCGGCGTGTCTGAAATGATCGGTGCGTCTCCCCCGGTTTTCCCTCCTCCCTCCGATCCCCGGGAGCCGTCCTTGCAGGGCCGCCTCGTCGCCTCCTGCCCATACGAGCCGGGATCTTTCACGCCCCGGCACCTGCGGCCAGCCCGTTTCCAGACGCGCCCGTCCCCGCACGGACCGGGTCAGCGGAGAAGGGTGGTGGGGTGGCCGGACGCCCGACCCCGCAGGCGCCTCTCCGCTTGGCCGAGGGGGTGAGGCCGCGGCGGGGGGCGGCCCTCCTGGCAGCCCCCCGGGGAACGCCGGCGCGCCGCGCTCGGGGCTGAGCGCCGCATCGGAGCCCCGCCGCCTGCCCGCCCC